ACTATTTTTTAAGTAAATTTCCTGATGATGATTCGATCGTCGAAATATCTAAAAAATAAATTGTAACATATAAAACCAACAAATTCGTCAGTTTTGTTTTTTTTTTTTCAATTCTGACTTCTGGCCAAACAAAAAACCAGAAGAAAATAACATCTTAGAATAATAATTTTCTAAGAACCTTCAAACAAAGGAAAATAGCGGGCTATTTTAAGTACTTGCAAATAACAAATCATGGATGTTTTCACAGATTTTTTCCAAACTTCGGACTTTTTATATATATTAATTTTTTCAATGATTTCTGGTTAGGGTAACACGATTGTGCTACTTGGAGTCTTACTGGTCAATTGAATTCATCCTAATTTGGGGAAAAGAGCATAGAGAAAAAAGAAATGGATTGGAGAATAAAAAAACATTGTGAGTAATTTCCTCTCCCATAGGTCTCACATTGATGAGAGTTGGACATTGTCAGACTACATGTTCGACCTTCTTAGTTTACTCTCATTCTGACATAGCCTGCAGCAAACGGCGGCACAGTGATCTGTGAGGATTCCCACCACAAATTTAAGGTTAGATTTCACCATGGAGATGAGCGACGTTATTCTCTTCCCAGAGATTGTAGGTCAAATTTCCTCCGGGAAATTTCAGTGCCTTTCATCTATACATGTTTTATTGAAATCTTCAAGAGTAATGTTGGCACATGAGTGGTCTAACCGAGTATTCGATCTCAATGTCAATTGACTTGGATCCACCAAGTCCTGCCAATTCATTTGCTGCTTCATTTTTTAAAATGCTTAAATAGTCTCGAACTCAACAGGGCTATATGGACTACCTAGCCTTTTCCAAGGCTTGGTTGGTTTTCCATGATTTACTAAAAAAAAATTTTTTAGATTAAAAAAACACATTTTCCAGGACTTCCTTACCAAAAATCGTGGAATCTTTTTAAGAATATTTTCTAAAGAAACTCTCGCCCAAAATCTTATATTTAAAAAAAATATTTTTATGGATCTTTTTTCTAATAAGATTCTTATCCGTATTTTCTTACAAAGAATCCTTTATTTATTTTTTTTTTTTTGAAGGAATAGCAGGAAATTGATTACTTGTACACCAAAAAGTTTTCAAATGCTTTCATTTTGAAGTTTACGGGGAAGGATATTAGCAAAACCATTGCACAATGGACCCACAACCATTTTTCTGTCCCAAACTAAAACCAACAGTGACCTCAATATCAAATTTCAGAATTTCGGCTCAATCCCTTAAGCCAATACCAAATTTAGTAACATCTAGTACGCATATCCAAAACAATCTATATTTCTCCATCGTAGGCACTTTTAGTACTTTTCGAACAATTATAGTACGCATTTGCAAAACAACTACAAAATCTCTACGACAGAGTCCTAAATATCAAATTTAGGGATTCCAGTTCTACAATATGTGAATATCCCCAATTTAGTACTAATTAGTACTTTTCGAACTGTTATGGTACACATTTCCAAAACCGCCTCCAAATCTTAACCACAGACGCCAGCAGTGATATCTATATCAAATTTCAGGATTTCAGATCTATTCCGTCACCCAGAACCAAATTTAGTGCTATTAAGTACTTTTCGTACAATTATAGTAAACATTTCCAATACATTATAAACAATAACAAAATTCGGGATTCCAGCTCTATCTCTCCTCCCTGTGCCCAATGTTGTCGAACAATTATAGCACATATTTTCAAAATCACCTACATATCTTAACAACAGACGCCAGCAGTGATATCAATATGAAATTCAGGATTTTAGTACCATTCCTTCACCCAATACCAAATTTTGTACCATTTAGTGCTTTTCGTATAATAATAGGACGCAAAAAAATCCCCAAAAAAAAATCTCAAACACAGATATCACCAATAATCTAAATATTAAATTTTAGAATTTTATCTCTATTTCTTTATTCAACTCCAAATATAGTACCATTCAGTACTTTTCGTACACTTACAGTACACACATTTCCGAAACTTTCTTCATATGTCCAGGCTACACATGAACAGCGACCCTTATATCAAATTTTGGATTTCAAGCTCTTTATTTTTACTGAATACCAAATTGTACCAAACATAATGCTATTTAGTACTTTTCGCGCACTTGCAGTACATATTTCTAAAAAAATTATCACAAACCAATCACCAACAGCCAACCAACATTTCTAATGATATTAAATTTAGTGCATTTTGGTACTTTTGTCCATCCTACACAACTTCAAATACCCTCACTTCAAATTTCAGATTTCCAGCTATATTCCTTTTTCCAAATATCAAAGTTAATACTACTTTTGTATTTTTCGTACTTTTTGGTACGTATTTCCAAATCCATGTATCATATCTTAAGTCCAAACACTAACAGTGACCCTAATGCCAAATTTCAGATTTCAAGCAATATAAAAATTTCCACACCAAACTCTTTATCTTAACCCGTCCCAACAGCAGAGACCCACCAATATTTTAAATTTCTACATCAATCAGTTAACTCAAACCCAAATTGTACCGAATTAAGTACCATTTAGTACAGTTGTTACACTTAGTACCCATTTCCAAAAACATATAATATGGGAAGTAATGTTGATATACCACTTCCCAACTTAATTTTTATACCAAATGTCAAGATTTTAGCTGCATCCGTTCATAAAAAAACCCAAAGTTACGAAATTTAGTACACTTCTAGTCCAAGTCCGCCTTATCTTACCCCTACCCAAAATTTCACGATTCTAGCTACAGCCGTTTCGCCTGGACGTCCATGAATCAGTTGGTCACTCATTTTTATACTTCTTCACCAAGATTGACAGACGGACATCCCTAGATCGGCTCAAAAATTCCTGCAACGGATTCCAAAGAGACCTGCGACGGATTTGGTCCAAAGAGACATAGGACCTAAAACCTTTATTTCGATGAGGCGTTTTAAAATGATATCTTCTCTAGCCATACGGCAAAAGGTATAATTATGTATTTTTAGAACACATTTTAAGGACCTCTTTTAAAAAATAGGAGAATTTTTAGAAGCCTTTTACGAAAATTTGTTTTCAAGGACAAAGTCGTTCAAGCACTTCATTTTAAATATTATTAATTTTTTAGAATTTTCAAAAGGTCTTCTTATGAATCGTGGAGTTAGTGGAGTTTTTTTTTTGGAAATATTTTTCGAGGATGTTAAGGACTTTTTAGGAATATTTAATACAAGTTGTCTTTGGAAAAATTGCTAAAGGTCTTCCTACCCAAAAATCATAGACTTTCACAGAATACTATTAAAATTTCCTGGCCAACGATATTGGATTTTTGTTGAACGATTTTCTATTAAGAAAATTTTATCAAGGACCTTCCTTCCAAGTAAAGGATATTATCAAGGCCAAAAGTCTTACTTTTTTCCATAAAGAGTAAGAACATAAAAACTAAATCCTAGCAGATGTTAAAGAAATTCAAAAAAATGTATTTTTGCGTATTTGGGGATTGGAAAAATGCTGGAATGAGTGTTGAATGCCTTCAAAGGCTCAAGCTGGATATTCATGAAAAGTCGGCCGGGCCGAACTTTGAATACCTTCCACCATTTGAGCAGTAAGTTCGACCGGGCCGAACTTTGAATATGCTCCACCATTTGGAACGAATTTGGAAATTTTCAAAAAAAAAAATAAAATCCGTTAAAAATTCTGTTAATATCTTAAAAATACTGAATATAGGATGGAAATACATAAAGCGCATATTTGGCTGGCTTAAGTCATCGGCGGCTTCTTAGTAGATGGACAAAGGAGTTTTGGCATAGGCAATTTTTGTCATAAACTATTAAAATATTCAAATACGAAACTTGAAAAAAACCGGTGAATAATGTAGCTAAAATCATCAAAATACCGAATATAGGGAGGTACCGTTATATGGAGGCTATACGAAGACCTGGAAATGCATAGGCAATTTTCTGTCACAGGCTGTAGTACCTATAACGAACTTCAAAATTTCAGTGAATATTGTACCTAAAATCGTCAAAATACCGAATATAGGGAGGTTCTAATAAATGGGGCCTATACGAAGTTCTGGACCTGTATAAACAATTTTCTGTCATATACTGTAGTTCCCGTTATGAATTCCAAATACTAAATTTGAAACAATTCCGGTGAATCATGTTACTAAAATCATCAAAATACCGAATATTGGGAGGTACCGCTATATGGAGGCTATACGAAGTCGTGGGCCTGCGTCCACAATTTTTGTCATAGGCTGTAGTAACCATTACGAATTCTAAATACAAAATTTGAAACAACTCCGTTGAATAATGTCTCTAAAATCGTCAAAATATCGTATATCCGGGGGTACCGTTGTATGTAGGCTATACGATATCGGGGGCGTATATAGACAATACTCTTCCAGGGGGAAAACGCTTGGAAAAAACATCTAGTATGGATTTTTAGACAATTCCAAAATGTAGCTAAAATCATCAAAATGCCGAATATTGGGAGGTACCGTTATATGGGGGATACACGATATATAGACAATACTCTTCCAGGGGGTAAAGTACTCAGAAGAAACTCCCTTTGTGGATTTTCAAAGAATTTCATTGAAAAATTTGGCTCCAATCATCAAAACACCGAATATGGGGGTACCGTTATATACAATATCCTTCATGCTATACCCTCCATGCTATGTATGATAGAGGGTAGAAAAAAACCTTTTTATTAGAATTACAAAATTGAGATACTTTTTGAACAACCCTCGTATATGAATACGGAATCGAAAATAAACACTCACGCCTCCTCTTGTTGGGAGAACTGGACTTCTGCTTCCATTTCATAATCGATTCAGTTTTCCTTGTTTTTAAATCCAACATCAAACTTTTATGAAATCATTCCTAAGATATTCCGGAATTACATTTTCAATATTTTAAAGCGGGTCGCAATAAAATTTAGTGGCATCGTAAAACTTGTAAGAAAAAATTAAAATCGAAATATTTTCCCAAATAAAAAATTCGAAGAAGAAGAAGAAGCGATGGCAAATGGTCATTTTTATTTATTTACTTTATTACCCCCCCAACAACATCAAATGGAAAATATAATGTCTTTCCTTCGCATTGGCTAAATACCCATCAACAATCGGAGCAGCAAAATAAAAGAAATGGCACACACACTCATAAACATACACATATGTAATTTTTATTATCCTCCATGCCATATCCCTGCTAAGAAGGCCGCTCATGACCAAATACAATGTCATGCGTTTATTGATTTTCTTGTCACGACTTGGCAAAAAAACAACAACGAAACAAAAATACTCAAATTTATTACGAATAGAGACGTATTTTTCTCTGAGTGTATAATATCTAAACACACAGAGGTCCATCATCATGACCTCCGCCCCAAAAATGACCTCTGCTATTGATATTTTTGTTTGAATTGTCATTCTTTCTTGTTTTGTTTCTTTTTTGGCATTTTGTTTTGTTTTGTTTGGCATTCGATAAAATCGATTTGAATGGAGTTCCTTGTCATGGAGGAATGAAAAAAAGAAACGCAGTCGATGATATGGAACAACGATAACGGTTCATTAAACTCTGAATATATTCTGGGGACACAAAGGAATGTTTTTTTTTTGAGGGGGTTTCGAGGAAGAGAGGCAGAGAGCAAGAATGGGGTCCTTTGTAGGAGTCATTGTATCACTTCATCATCAACAACTAGAATAAATATTTAATTCAAATATGATTCGAATAAATTAATCACAAGAAAATAACTCCGTTTGGAAAAGAGTCAACATCTCCGCGATTTGTGTGTGGAATTGATTTTGCTGAACTGGAACTGAGTGCTTCAAAAGAAAACAATATTTGATTAGGAATCCATAAAATTTGAAGGCGTATTTCTTACAACGATCCGAAACCAAATTCAAGATAATTTTTTGTTGGACATTTTCAAAATAATAATTATCAGGAAATACAGACCTAGTAGTCAACACCAAAAATAGTTTCATGAAAAATCCATCAGATTATGAAGGTATAGCTAAAAATAGAAGACACGTGTATCGGCGTTGTGAAAGCTTACCTCGAAAAGTTACCTAAATAGAAGGGGCAAGTTCAGCCCTCTTTTTCACATTTTTTTGAATTACGTTTTCTTTGATTCCTTTATTTCCGAAATATGTAACTTATATAAAATAACTTCTGTCGCAAGGTGTTCTGTAGCAAAGTATGAAAGTAGAGCTAACAAAGGGGGCCAATACTTTTCATTTTTGCCCTCCACCATACATAGCATGGAGGATATATTAAGTTCGTCATTCCGTTTGTAACTAATCGCAATAATGAATTTAGAAATAACAAAGTACAGGGTGAGATGAAAAAAACTGCAACCAACTTCAGACTGCTGTTATTTCTAAGGCACTCGTCCGACAGCTGTTAAAATTATTCCAGTGACAGCTCATTATATCCAATGTTTACAAGCGGACAAAAGCATTTTGGTGAGAAAACAAGTAAAAAAGATGTAAGTTCGGACGGGCCGAACTTTGAATACCCTACACCATTTGGAAAGAATTCGGCAATTCTCAGCAAGAATAAAACACGTTAAAAATTCTGTTAAAATCTGTTAAAATACCGAATGTAGCTGTAACATTAGGGTCCATACGACGACATGGACCTGCATAGGTAATTTTCGTCATAAGCCATTACAATATTCAAATGCGAAACTTGAAGAAAAAATCGGTAAATAATGTAGCTAAAATCATCAAAATACCGAATATCGAGAGGTTATCTTATAGGGTGGCTATACGAAGACGTGGACCTGCACAGACAAATTTCTGTCATAGGCTGTAGCATTCATTTCAAATACCAAATTTGAAACAATTCCGATGAATATTGTCGCAAAAACCATCAAAACATCGAATATCGGGGGTACCTTTATATGGGGGCTACACCAAAACGTGGACCCACACAACCCATTTTCACTACCAAAAGTCCTGCAGACATAATATACATTTGTGAGATGAACATATCGTAATATTTCATTCGGCAAATCTTGAGAAATGAGCTCGGTGTAAAGCCATTGAAAACTCCAAAATGTGGAAAAAATAGACTCAAAAGAGCTAATGAGTTGCTTCTTGGCTGCTTGCCCGAAAGTGATGAACTGCCGAATTTGGGTTTCTCCGATGAGAAAACATTCGTTGTCCAGCAGTTTGTGAACAAACAAAATGATCGCGTTTACTTGCCGAAGAGGTCAGCTGAAAATGTGCACCTTCGGTTGGCCACCAGAACTCAAGCGCCGGCCATGGTGATGGTGTGGGCCGCCATAACAGCCGATGATCGCTCTCCGCTCGTATTAATCGACCATGGCATCAGAATAAATGCAGAATATTATCGCGAAAATATTCTGAAGTTTGTATTAAAGCCTGGGGGACGCGCCACCCAAGAATCGTTACAAAATAAGGTTCCTAGCTTCATTTCCAGCGCACAATGGCCACCAAAATCCCCATCTCCGGATACCCATCCGTTGGACTATTGTGTCTGGAGTATTTTAGAAAGCAAGTTTGGCACTTAAAAATACCAAAGTGTCGATCACCTCAAGCAAGCGCTTCACCGGGAATGAGCCAACATACCGCAGAGCAACATTTTGACGGCGTGTGACGGTTCCACTGGCCGTTTGAAGGCCATAATTCGTGCCAAAAGTGACCAATTCGAACAAATCTAAAGTTATTCTAAAATTTGATGCTATTTCCGAAATTTGTAAAAAAATGTAAAAAAATATGACGTTTGACTTTGTTGCAGTTTTTTCATCTCACCCTGTATATGGAAGTCATAACTTTATCTGAACCGATTTACTCCAAATTTGAAGTACTGGTTTCTAGGATGAATTCACTCGTAATTGTCAAAATTCAGTCCATTTTGGGATGATATTAGCCATTTGGTGCACAATAAGTCTGAAGGAGATATGGGAGCTATATCCTAATCTGAACCGATCTCAATGAAATTTGACAGAGGTATTTTCGAGCAGTATCTGATGTCCGGTAGCAAATATTATGTTTCTGGAGCGCATATTACACATGTGAGGGACTTAAAACCCCAATTCGGATGAAACATATATGTATATGGGAGCTATAGTTGTATCTGAACCGTTGTTCTCCAAATTTGATGTACTTGCTTCTAGACTGAATTCGGTCGGATGTGCCAAAATGCACATCATTTGGAATGATATTGGCCGAAATCTGAACCGATTATCACCAATTTAAATAGGGTTCGTCCTTGGGGCAAACAAATATGATTTGGAAAATTTCATCTCAATCGGACAATAAGTGCGACCCGCATTTTGTTCATGGCATGCATAACTCGACTTAGAAAGTGATTCTATTAAGACCCTACAAAGTAACCATGGTTCTATCTCCCTTCCTTCTCCATGTTACAAAGAAATTCACAAAGACATAGTACCCCTACCACTATGTGGTGTAGGGTATAAAAAGTACTACTGAATACCCATAGTTGCCTTGATAATTCCGCCATGGATATATTATAGCTTGAAAATATTATAATCATACGTTTCAAATTTAGGCTTTCATAAATGTCACTGGCTCCTGGGTTCACACTCTTCATATTAGAATTATATCAAATATGTGGACATAATAGACAATCGGATTTATCGGAACAACAAATTCAGTTGATATAACCGCTTTTTTCAATTTGCCAGGAATCATTTCCGAAAAGATTTCATGGGTAAAATCAAATGCCATGGAGATGTAGTGCTGCTATTTTCCTCCCTCTCTCTTTAAAAAAATATTTACAGAAAACCATTTTACATACCTGTATCTACAAACACACATAGTTGTCGACATACATATGTGGGTTCCATTACTCACACATATGTACGAAATAAATGAATATTTCAAATATTTTTTCCCCCAAATGCCTAAATTTTGTATTGAGTAACATGGAAATATTTTGAATTCTGTTTTTTTTCTCTCGATTTTTTTCATAAATTGATTTATGACACCTTCAGAGAAACATCAACGCCGCATTAATGACTGGCTGACTGGATGCCTGGCTAGCTGGCTGTTTGACCGACTGGCAAGTTTAAGAACTGTGTAACCCATTGAAACAGATGTACCAACGAACCTGTACACGATTTTCTGCAGATTAGAGATTTTCCATTTGTCAGCTTCAACATTGCCGCGGCTGCTGCTTTGGCCACGATCGGTCGATATTCAGCCATGTGAGGCTATACTGTGCTTGGCCAGTCAGGCTGTCAGTAATTGGCTTTTAAGATACTCGTGCCAAGTATTTACCACAAAAAAAAAAGAGCCCACGAAAAAAAAACACAAAAATTAAACGAAACTGGATATTGGCTATGATAGTCAATAAATATTTGTGGCCAACATATGTGTGTACGTGGGAGCACAGTGGAAGATTTTTTTGTAGTAAACAAAACCGTTAAGTCCCCCTCCCACATAAGACAAATCTGTAGTATCTGAAAGTAACTGAAAGTGGTTGTATTCCTAAAGGGAGAAACTTTTTCAGGGGACTCGCATGTGGATACGTGATGAAAGCAATCATACGCTCTGGGGTCTTTCAAAAAATTATTTCACAATAGCAGCTCTTCGGAAAAATATTGCCGGAATATTTTTATAAAAACACTCGGCGCCCAAATTCATTTTTTTATACCCTACACTACAAGGTGGTCAGGGTATTATATCTTTGTGCATTTGTTTGTAACAGGCAAAAGGAAACGATATAGACCCATAGTTCCTTTTGATGATCTGCATAGAATCACATTCTGAGTCGATTTATGCATGTCCCTCCGTCTGTCCGTCCGTCCATCTGTCCGTCCGTCCATGTATTTTTGTAAACAAAGTACAGTTCGCATTTATTGCCCTATCCCGATGAAATTTTGCACAAATCATTTGTTTGGCCCAAAGACGAACCCTATTGAAATTGGAGATAATCGATAAAAAATTAGATATAGCTCCCATATATATCTTCGTCCGATTTGCCTTTTATTGTGCACCAAATGTGTAATATCAGCCCGAATAGTATGGAATTTTGCACATACAACTAAATTAGGCCTGAAAATAAGTATGCCAAATTTGATCGAAATCGGTTCAGATATAGCTATAGATCCCATATATATTGTTCATCCGATTCATTATTTTTGTCCTCCGCAGCCGTAATATGCACTCTGTAACAACAATATTTGGGGAAATATATCAAATGCAGCTCAGAAATACCTTTGCTAAATTTTATCGAGATCGGTTCAGATTTGGATATAGATCCCATATATAACTTCGTCACATTTACCTTTGATTGTGCACCAAACGTCTATTATTTGCCCAAATTGGATGATTGGATTTGGCACTTTCGACCGAATTGAGTCTAGAAGCTAGTATGTCAAATTTAGTGAAGATCGGTTCAGATATAGCTATAGCTCCCATATATACTGTTCATCCGATTTGTCATATTTGTTACCCACAGCCGTAATATGCACTCCGTAACAACGATATTCAGGGAAATATATCAAATACAGCTCAGAAATATCTTTGCCAAATTTTATCGAGATCGGTTCCGATTTGGATATAGCTCCCATATATATTTTTATCCGATTTCAGATTAATTGTGCACCAAATGGGCAATACAACTCCGAATTTAAAAGATACAAATGCTTCGGCATATTTAGTTCTTTGAACTTTAAATGGTAATAATAATCATAGCGTGTATGATTGAATTCTCCCATAAAAACTTTTAATTGTCATGCGGAGCTCTACTAAATTAGCAAAGTGGTGTAGGGTATCATAAAGTCGGCCCGTCCGACTTTAAGACTTTCTTTAATGGTTTTCAGTGGATTTGAATTAAGATTTAAGTTAAATAGAATCAGTCGGTATTGCCGACAGCTGCATACCTTCAGCCAATATTAGCTTATTGCATTAGGATTATTCAAACTGGAGGGATTCCGAAGGAATGAGCCAATATTATAAGCTTTGAAAATTGCTAC